TATACTCATATACATATACATACATATATATACACATACATATACAAATATATACATATATATACACACACACTGTGTGTATATATATATATATATACATATACATATATATACAAATATATATATACATATAAATACACATATACAATATACTTATATATATACATATAAATACACATATACATATATATACATATATATATACATATAAATACACATATATAATATATACAACACACCCACACACACCACACACACACACACACACACACACACACACAACACACACACACACACACACAAACACACACACACACACACACACACACATATAGAGAGAGAGAGAGAAAGAGAGAGAGAGAGAGAGAGTAACATATAATAGCTATACTGTATGTACACACCATTAATGTGAAATAACCCACAACTGCTGATATTGGCCATGACAGCCTTAAATATGAACACAGAATCAGGTTCTTTCTTCTCTTTTTTGACCTCTACTTGTTCTTTCAATGCATCTTTATCTGCAGTATAGTGCCAATTGGGGTAATTCAGTTCCCCTTCCATATTTGGTCTCTGGTATCTACATAAATAAAATATGTGCAGTACTGAATATTCAGCAAAGGACAGCATCTGTTTTTTTTCCCAAATAATCATGAATGCTAAATTCAATGCTGTAAAACTGAAGAACAGAAAAAGAAAATAACCAACTATACACTTTCTTATAAGAAACTCTCTATGCAAAATAACCTTGACCCATTCATGATAGGATTGCCTTCTGCCATACTAACCCATCAATTTTGGCCATGCCAAAAACAAATTTTGAAGGAGAAAGGAGGCTAAAAAGAGGCTTTAAGCCTACCTTTGAAGGGCTGTAGCTCTTCAATGAAGTTCAGGCAAAGCAGATAAGCTATTTAGCATTTACAACTCAGAGCAGGTCCAACAGCCTGTGGCATGGGTGTTTGTCACCCGGCATTCGGGCCTCATTTGTTATCATATTTCACTCAGCTTGAATGGATTACTTAACCTATAATTAGCTAATATGCCTTAACTCATGGAGAATAGATTTGTATATCGCCTTTCAACTCACTTAGAAGGTATCACCAGTTAAAATCAACTTAGTAAAACACTAAGCATTTGATATTATGATATATATTGATGGCTTCTGACGTGATTGGTCAATCAGTAAGACTACCTGATACTACCTGTTTAACCATATCCTTGAACTTTCATATAGAAGGTTTATATTTTCATTATTATTATCATTATCAATTACATTGTAATCAATCAATCGATATGTCACAAAAACATTAAGAAATGGGGTAAACTGAAGACTAATTGCTATGTATATGAACATGGTAACAATGAATTGAGCATGTATGGGACACTGGAGCTGAAACCCTTTGTAGAGACAAATTCACAGGCTACATCCTTTAGCAGTAATCTTTACTATAGTAAATTTGTCAAAAGGGCTACTTTTGTACACCATATTCACTACTTATTACTTAAGAACCAAAGAGGAGGAACACTGAAAACGAGAGGAACTGAATACGAGTTTTATAATTTCCCTTGTCCGAGCTGAAACAACAAAACCTGTTAATAAAAAAAAGTACACTTCTACTACTGGTGTTGCCATCCTTATCTATAATGGAAAAATATAAATGAGATATAACTGACACATTTTGACTAACCCTGTCATGAAGAGGCTCAAATTTTCTGTGACGTAATTATTACACAGCAATTTATTTTTTCTGGCAGGATTCGTGCCATGTACAGCTGGCCCACCCGCTCACTACAACAAGTCATGATGAGGATACATAAAATATATGATTACATCATGTTGGCTAAAGCCGTAACCATCACTGAAAGCTTAATGCATTCATCTGAATTGTAAATGAAGGTACATGATAGCCATTTGTAATTCTGATGAAGATTTTAAGTAAAAGGCATTAATTACAGCTCTTACTTTTTAACTTTGCCTTTTGCTGTTCAACAGAAAGTTAATCACCTTATCATTATAATCATCACAAACATCATCATGCCATGAAACTATATATATATATATATTATATAATATAATATATATATATATATATATATATATAATATATATAATATATAATATATACATAATATATATATACATATATATATATATATATACATATATATATACATATAATTATATATAACATATATATATATATATATATAACAATATATATACATATATATATATAATACATATATATATATATACATATATATATAATACATACATATATAATATATATATAATATATATATATAATATATATATAAAAATAGGGATACATATATTTGGACTGCCCTCCCTCATATAGAGATGATACCCTCACTGCGCACTCAATACCTTACTTTGCAGATACTTAGAGGAACTGCAAACATCACTTATAAAATGAGGATGCTCACTCTTATCTTCTCCTCCTCCTTCTTCAATTTCTTTTCCTTCTTTTCTCCTCCTCCTTCTTTCTCCTCCTTCCTCCTTCTTCCTCCTCCTCCTCTCCTCCTCCTCCTCCTCCTCCTCCTCCTCCTTCTTCTTCTTCTTCTTCTTCTCTTCTTCTTCTTCTTCTTCTTCTTCTTCTTCTTCTTCTTCTTCTTCTTCTTCTTCTTCCTCTTCTTCTTCTTTCTTCTTCCTTTCTTCTTCTCTCTTCTTCTTCTTCTTCTTCTTCTTCTTCTTCTTCTTCTCTCTCTTCTCTTCTTCTCTTCTTCTTCCTCTTCTTCTTCCTCTTCTTCTTCCTCTTCTTCTTCCTCTTCTCTTCTCTCTTCTTTCCTCTTCTTCTTCCTCTTCTTCTTCCTCTTCTTCTTCCTCTTCTTCTTCCTCTTCTTCTTCCTCTTCTTCTTCCTCTTCTTCTTCCTCTTCTTCTTCCTCTTCTTCTTCCTCTTCCTCTTCCTCTTCCTCTTCCTCTTCCTCTTCCTCTTTTCTCATACATTATAGGCTTATTTACCTCAGTCTCAGAATGAGACTGTTCAGTTTTACTTTTCATATTTTCTGATTTTTGTTGTATTAGCCTATATATGAATGATGATCAAAGAGCTAAAAAAAAGTAAAAAAAAAAAAAAGTTAAATACACTTCCCATCCTTCTTCCATTAAATAAGACATCAAGAGTTTTTAAGAAATATATTCTGATAAGTTCTACAAAAAAAGACCCCTTCTCTATATTTCCCTGAACATTAACAGGTATAGATAAATCTGTCAAAACAGCAACTTCCAACACATTATCATCAAACTATCAAATAAAAATATACTCATAGGCATTGTAAAAATACCACCTATATATACTACTGTATTTCCTACTCATCATTCCAAGGCATACTACACAAAAAAGACATATTGCATTAATCTAAAACACAAAGAACGTTGACGACCTCTTACTGCACAATACATATCTGACAAGATTACAAAGCATCAGATGGCCAAGAGATGTAATTAATTTTTGAAGACAATAAAACACAAACTGCTATAATCACAAAGCCATGACAACCATATCTCATATAATAGTACCCTATGAACCTCAAGAAAAAGAAAAAAATATACACTATTCAATGTAGCAGGCCTGAAAGTTGCGAGTGTTTCATCCAAAGTGAATGTATCATTAAATTAGCACATAGAGATAACATAATTCATGAATCTACTTTATTCCTTTTTTTCTAAAAGTAATTCAGGAAGAATATAGATACTAGATAACTTAACAGATAATTTCTTTGAAAATGCATTTGACAAGAAACATTTCTGTCAAACGTATATAACAATAAAATCAAACTCAGCCAAATCTCTTTCAGGCCTGCAAAGTATATCATATTTCCAATAATAATAATGGTAATAAAAACAATCAAAATAACAGTGATAATATCAATAATAATAATAATGATAATAATAATAATAACAATAATAACAATCATAATAAAAAATAAATAAATAAATAAAATAAATAAAAATAATAAAAAATAATAATAATAATAATAATAATAATAATAATTAATAATAATAATAATAATAATAATAATAATAATAATAATAAAAACAATAAAACAATAAAACAATAAAAACATTAATAACAATAACAATGACAATGACAATGACAATGACAATGACAATGACAATGACAAGAAATGACATGATAATGATAATGATAATGAAATGATAATGATAATGATAATGATAATGATAATGATAATGATAATGAATAATGATAATGATAATAATAATATAATAATAATAATAATAATAATAATAAATAATAATAATAAATAATAATAATAATAATAATAAAAACATAAAAACAATAATAACAATAATAACAATAAAAACATTAATAAAAATACAATAACAATAACAATAACAATAACAATAACAATAACAAATAATAATAATAATAATAATAATAATAATAATAATAATAATAATAATAATAATAATAATAATAATAATAATAATAATAATAATAATAATAATAATAATAATAAAATAACAATAACAATAACAATAACAATAACAATAACAATAACAATAATAAGAACAATAATAATAATAATAATAATAATAAGAACAATAATAATAATAATAATAATATAATAATAATAATAATAAAATAATAATAATAATAATAATAATAATAAAATAATAATAATATAATAATAATAATAATAACACTAACACTAACACTAACACTAACACTAACACTGACACTGACACTGACACAAATGGACAATTGACAATGACAATGACAATGACACATGAACAATGACAATGACAATGACAATTAATAAATAAAATAATATAATAATATAATAATACATAATAATAATAATAATAATAATAATAATAAAAATAATAATATAATAATAATAATAATAATAATAATAAAATAAATATTAACAACAACAACAATAATAACAACAACAACAATAATAACAATAATAATGAGAAATAACAGTACCAAAGTCTCAAATGTATACTCAC